ACCATTAGTGAAAATGGGTCAACTCAAGTTGCATCGATTTGAGTTAATTTTTTATTTAAATTAAAAAATAAAGTGGCATTATTAAAAAATAAAGTTGAAGATAAAATTTATGATATAAAATATTTTAGACTAAGACAATTATTGAACCATAACTAATCAACCTTAGTTAAAATTAACTATTGTTATTTTTATATTATAAAACAATTATCAAAAATAGTATATAAAATATAAAAAAATATTAATTATTTTAAAAATTAAAAACATAAAACAATTACATAATCTTATTTATTCTATTATTTAGCACATGTCACCGCTAGTTTATTTCTATTGCTTACGCTTAACAAATTCCATACATCGCACAAATCCCAAGGCGAGGCAGAGACTCTTTCATTTCCTCCCCGACCCATCCTAAACACAAACGACATAATCAATCGGTTCACTTTTATCGAGTAGACCTAACCCGTTGACAGGTCTTGCTTGTTGGTTGCTGGAAGGGGTTAGGCAAAACATGACAACAAAAAAACACAGATGACAGAACCGTTTAGTTAATTGGCCAGATTTCTATTTCTGACTAATGCACCATAAAATCTTCATCTTCAGTTTGATTCTTTAATTCACATGATCACATTCATCAATGAAACAGGATTGCAGAGATCTCTCATTTCTACTTCTCATGATTTTCTTGTTCATTTTTCAGCTCACTCTTGTGGATGAAGGAGAAAAAAGCGACACCAGATTTCATGTCCATGAGACTATCCACACCCACTTGTATTTTTTTAATTAATAAATATTAAAAGAAAAAATAAAATATACCAATTTAAATAAAGAAAAAAAAACAAAAAAAATATAAGTATTTTTTAATTATTTACATCATATATATATATATTTATAAATAAATAAATAATATAACAAATTTATAAAATTATAATATAAATAATATATTTATAAATAAATAAATAACATATATTATTATTATTATTATTATTATTATTATTATTATTATTATTATTATTATTATTATTATTATTATATATTTATATTTATAAATACCATGATCTGATCCATTTGCACCCCTAGATAAAATCGAGCTGAGCCAAGTCAAATATCTTGGATCGGCTCGACTACAATACTATTAAGTTTGAGTTTAACTCAAATTATATTTTTTTTTTGTTTGAGGTCAGTTTGATTAAATATTCAATAAGTTCAAGTTTGGCTCGGAAGCTCAAAGATGAATATATTTTTATATTATATATATGATATATTTTTTATAATACATAGTATGTTATATTATATAAAATATATAAAAATATTTTTTTATAATATATTATAAAGTATACTTTTATATTCTCTCTGGGCAAGGCGCCTATGGCTCCCCTCGGATGCATAGATCTCAAAAAGTTATCCAAAATAAAAAATATACCTCAATCAGACATCAAAGTGCAAAGTCATGTTCTCCTGAAGTTTGTATACACATTTAGTTTGCAACTTATGATCAAGTTGAATGGGTCGAACAGTCCAACCATCTGGGTCAGACGATTTTTTATCATCCTCCGGGTTTTATTAAAACCAAACCCGAAATCTTGACCAAATGACGGTTCAACCAGCCAGATCAATGGTAGGTTAAAAATACTATTTCATCCCTCATGTGGGCCTAAAAGTTTACAGATGTTCTAGCAAGGTTAGTCTCGCTAATTCATCTTGTTAGGCAATTTCTTGGTCAGCTTATTCAGTATTTACATCAGCCTCGTACTATTCCACTTATTACAATTGGAAAAAAAAAATTGCCCCCTCCTATAACTAGTGTTTTCAACCCATTGTTGACTTGGCTGGTTGAATTGTTTAAATTGTCATTCGACCAAAATTCCAAGTCCTTTTTATAAATAAAAATATAAATTTAAATATAAAATATTACATATGGAACATAATTATACTGGACCTATAGCCTGGAGACAAAAGTAGTTCGACCTCTAGATTATTTTTTAAAACATTGCCCTAGAATTATGAATTATGTACTGTTCACTTTTCACGTTAGATGATACTGCCATGCTTCTTGTTTTATTGAAAATTTTTTGAAAGTGGAATGAGATTAGATTAGAACTGGGAACCCTCAACCTCCCACACCAGAAGAAAGAAAAAGAAAAACTCTGTTTTTTTTTTTTTTTCCGGGCCTGGATCGGGCTTTGCCTTCATAACAATAGGCTTAGGCTAGGCCTGGGCTCGGCCCAACCCGCACTATAGGCCTAAAAATATAAGCTCGGGCTGGGCCAAGCCAAAATTTTAGGCCTAATTATTGTATTTCAATTCCAAAATTAAACAATTGTACTTTTTTCACTTATTGTCATGGAGACTATAATAACCTATAAGAAATTTTAAACTTAATATCAAGATAAAAGCTTCTAACATAAAAGAAATTAAATAATTATACCTTGTAACTTATAAATTTTAATTCGTCATTAGTATGCTAAAAATGATAATTTTAACAAACCAATTCTTCTATCAACAAAAAATCAACCTGAAACCTATAATATCTATCAAAAGATAACCATCCATTGTCATGTAATATCTGCATAACAACTTTAAACATCTTTATAAGGGGCTCCATCTTCCACTCAACTCCTACAAATAAAAAGTGAAATAGAAAAGATATTAGCAAACTAAGATTAAATAGTTCAAATCAATGTAAATAAATAAGTAATAAAAGATTTGTCTTCAGGTGAGAGAGAGAGATTGGGTGCGGCGGTGCTTTTGTGAAATTGGTGAGAGAGAGATCCTAGAAGATTAGGGTTTAGTAATTTTTATATTTCATTAAATACTAGATTAGAATTTGATAAGATCTAAGACCGTTCCTACAAATCTTTATTTAATATATAAAACATCAATTATCAAATATTTTTAAATAACATATATACATAAAAATATATAATTTGTAAATATCTAGGCTAAGCTGAGTCCAGGCTGAACTAAAAATTTAGGCCCAAGCCCAATCCTAAATATTGCGGGCCTGATGTGAGCCTGAGCCCGGGCCGGGCCTTAAAAACAAACCTAGGCCCAAGCCCGAATTTTCCATGCCGGCCCGGGCTGAAATGATCACCCCTAGGGGGTGTTTGCAATATTTTTGTTCTGTTATGGTAGAGCACACAGGCACAGTAATTATGTAATTATATAGTTCAGAGACGTAGAGTTGCAGATTGGGAATGCCATAAAAGCTTCCAAAGAAGTTATTGCTGCAGCCAATATGGCTCCCTAAAGATGGTCGACAACTGATTCAGCTTCCATGACTTCTTCACAAGAACAGCCCATTGATGGGCGGAATGTCTCCTCCAGGTATATTTATTTATTTATATAGAAGTTGCAGTTGTAGCAAACCCCTTATCCAATAATGAAATCACCATTTAAAACCATTAAATTAAAGTGAAAGAAAACAGAGCCTTCATGTTATTCCATGTGATTATAATTCTATAATCCATTAATGAACCTCTTCTCCCTGCTCCATGGCTGATGCTGTAATGCCACCACCTAATCCCTTATCTCTTTGTATATAAAAATAAATAAATGAAGAGAAATAATATGTAACTTTCTTTGCATCACTATTGCTATTGCTTAAAGTCAAGACATCTATAAGGGTTCATGACACGTGGCACTTTTCATGAATTATCTAGAATATGTACATTGAACTTGTTTGTTGCAATAGCCACGTGGCACACCAAGATTTCTTGGATGGGACGAATTTGAGGTTGATGACATCAGATGATGGGCTTGAGCGGTTGATGTGAGGTGGCATGGCAGCAGGGAGAAGATTTTGGGCCGGATAATTGATTGTTCCTTTTATTGTCATCGTGGTTGGCGTGGGCCTAGGCCTACATGTGTCCAAGAGGGCATCTCACGACTATGAGTTGTCCGGCATGATTGGCTGTTCTTTCTTTTTCTTCTTTTTATCTTTTATTTCTTTTGTAAGAGCAATTGGGGGCCCATTTTGGGTACCAAATAGAATGAAGGAGAGCTTTCTTTAATTAGGACAAAAATGCCCTTCCCTTATTTTTCCTTCACTTCATAATATAACCTAATATACGTAATGGAAAATATTCCATTAGATGCTCAAGATGCTAAATCCGGATCATACGGGTGGGCCCTCTAACCCTTTCCACCTGACCTGTACTGATCTGGTGAGACCCGATTCCAGTTGTAACCCACTTATGATAATTGATAAAAAAACGGATCTATTTACCAAAAGGGTGTTTCAGTAATTTAACTTCACGAGCTAGTTAGCCGTTGGACGTTGGCCATGTGCGCAGTACACCCCCCCACTTTATCGAGTCCGATGGGATTCAAGGCTGTCACTTTCCCAACGGTCAGAAAACGGCCGAGCTTTCTTGTCCACGCATTTTCTCACCTTCTCTCCGTTTCCATTTTAACGGAAAAGAACAATGCCCTGGGTCCTACTTTGGTGATCGCGATCTTCCATGCATCGCAAATCCTATCCGTCCAAAAGGTATCGTTTCATTACAATATCTTAGTCAAATGGCTGTTTTACCCCTATATTTTTGGGAAAAGCGAAAATATTAAATCCTAACCGCAGGATAGCTTAGTTCATCTCGACCGGGATTATTTTGACAATAGAATAGAAGATTACCGAATCAACATCAAATCCTAACCGTCCATCCTATGTAATTCAACCTTCCTTTGTCTTGGAACAGAAGTCACGAAACTTCTTCTATTTATTTATTCTCGTTAGGTGAAATCAGACGGCCCAGGAGAAATAATCAAGAAACTGAAGGAAAAAATTAGACCATCATGGAATCTGCAAAAGGATAAGAACAAATATAGCATCTGAAGGGCATATGTCAACAGCTCCCTGCTATTCATTCCAGAACCATCTTTTTTTTTTTTTTTCACATTTTTTTAGTGATACAGTATTCACTGATCAGTGTAAAAAATAATAAAACAAAAAACACCATTACTGCTTCTCATCACTTGTCACTCACTTTATATAAACCAGACCAGTCTGCTCTGTCCCCCGGATAAGCTCAGGACCTAACTTCTTCTGTGGTTTCAGAGTTCTCTAAAGGGGAAAGAGAGAAAATACAGACTACAGAGTAATAATGGAGGGTAAGGAAGAAGATGTTAAGCTCGGAGCTAACAAGTTCTCGGAGAGGCAGCCCATTGGGACTGCAGCACAGACAGATAAGGATTACAAGGAGCCACCACCAGCTCCATTGTTTGAGCCTGGGGAGTTGAAATCATGGTCGTTTTGGAGAGCCGGGATTGCAGAGTTCATGGCCACTTTTCTCTTCTTGTACATCACAATTTTAACCGTGATGGGTGTGGGAAGAGCTCCCAGCAAGTGTGCTTCAGTGGGCATTCAAGGGATTGCCTGGGCTTTTGGAGGCATGATCTTTGCCCTTGTCTACTGCACCGCTGGTATCTCAGGTTAGAAATATGTTTCCTTTATTTTATTCTTGAATCTTTCTGTTTGCCATCCCTAGAAGTTCTTCTTTGAGTTGTGTCTGTGGGGGGTTTTTAGTTTGTCTTTTGGATCATTTCCTTTGATTTATCTGAATTTTTGCACTAGTATTTCGTAGCTTTTCCTCGGTTTTTTCATCTCTGCCTGTAAATTCTTCTGGTAGACTTTTCATGTTTCTGGGTTTGCTGATTGTACTGAGTGGATCTTTGGGGCAGGTGGGCATATCAACCCGGCTGTAACCTTTGGTCTGCTGTTGGCAAGGAAGCTCTCCCTAGTCAGGGCGCTGTTCTACATCATAATGCAATGCCTTGGTGCAATCTGTGGTGCCGGTGTTGTCAAGGGTTTCCAGAGGCATCAATACCAACTACTCAACGGTGGAGCCAACTTTGTTCAGCACGGCTACACCAAGGGCGGCGCCCTTGGTGCTGAGATAGTCGGCACCTTCGTTCTTGTCTACACCGTCTTCTCTGCAACGGACGCCAAGAGAAACGCCAGAGACTCCCACGTCCCTGTAAGTATATATACCTTGTTTCTCAAATCGGATTATTATTATTATCATCCTTGTTCTGAGAGTTTAAAAATCTATTATTTTCTCTGGGTTTTCTGGATCTATTGGATGGAATTGTCGACTACAACAAGGTTGTGGTTCCTGGGAATTAAGAAAATTTTCGAGCTGATCTATGAAACCAGAAGCTGCCTTCTGAATTAGAAATTCTTCCAGTGGGGTTCGGTGGGTTGTGTCATTTACTTTTATTTCTGATTTGATGGGTAATTGCCATAAAAGTGGTTTTGTTTGGTGAGGTATAGCTGTGAAGTGTTTATTTTTCTTTTTTTATTCTTTACGCGGTCCCCAAATTATAATAGAAGAAAGAAAGAGCAGGATGAGTCATTTGTCTGTACATCCCATGGATTTATGAACATTGATGGTTGTTCTTATCTGGATTTGGCTTGATTGCAGATTTTGGCTCCTCTCCCAATTGGGTTTGCAGTTTTCTTGGTGCATCTGGCAACCATCCCCATCACCGGAACCGGCATCAACCCTGCTAGGAGTCTTGGAGCTGCTATTATCTTCAACAGGGATCTCGCCTGGCATGACCATGTAAGAACCAGATAAATCATTGGTTTTTTTTTGGATTAATATCATGTTTTTCCATCATCAATCAATAATTTATAATATATATGTTTTTTTTTCTGTATTTCAGTGGATCTTCTGGGTAGGACCCTTCATTGGAGCTGCCCTTGCTGCAGTGTACCACCAGATCGTCATCAGAGCCATCCCATTCAAGACCAGGGCCTAAATCTGTGATGGTGTCTTGAGTTGTTTAACCATTAGATTTTCTTTTTATCCTCCATGTCATTTCTTTTCATTTTTTGAAGTAAACCTACTCTTTGTTATGTAAGTTGATCGGTACTCTTAAATCTGTTTATTATGCGTGTAAATGATTTAAGTTTTCAGTCTGTGGTTGGATTTGGAAAATGAAGATTCTTTCCGAGTTAATTATTTCCACATTCTTGTCCTCTCTCTAGGTTGGGTTGAGTCTACTTGTCCATGTGCTGTGTCCACCAAAAAGTTTTCATTTTCATTACGGCTTCTCACAGTGTCCCCATTCTAGGGGTGAAAAGAAATTGTCAAGTCATTTGTCTGGGTTGTGACTTGTGAGATGATTTACCACATCTGTCTCAAAAGGATTACAAAGTATGGTTGCTGTTATTATTTGGTTAAACAGCTCCTAACAGTGCATCCATCCACTTGTGAGATGATTTACCACATCTGTCTTGGGAAAATGGGTCATTTTCAACTCTGTCTCAAAAGGATTACAAAGTATGGTTGCTGTTATTATTTGGTTAAACAGCTCCTAACAGTGCATCCATCCAATCCGGAATGAATTGGCTTCAGTTTATCTCTGTGGGAGAATTTAGCAAAATAAGAAGACGAAACCTCTTTTTCTTTTCAAGGAAAAAGATCCAACAACAGACGTATGCTGTGCGAGATTGCTCAATCTGTTTGTGAAACAAAAGGTGGCACCGTGGTATTGCTTTTTTACTTTCTTTGGAGAATTGTGGCTGAAATTTTGTGATTACCCGGATCTAATCCAGATTGCCCAAACTTTATGATTTGGGTATTTACAAAATACAGTCTCCTTTGCCCAAAGTTTAATTCGGGTATTTACAAAATACAGTCGCCATGCATTGAGAATATGACCTCAAATCTGCTCCACATCTCTAGAATATCTCCCTTGTCATAGACCTCATGGTGGTGGTGCTGCAAGGACATCTCTAATTTACAAGCACTGAATAGGATTATCAATTTATCATTCTGAATAGGTAAGAACGTCTCTTGTGAGAGGAAATCCCAACTTACTTCATTCTTTTCATAGAAAAGAAAATTTTTAACACGTGGCACATTATAGGTTCTGGTTTAATGATTTTGTCTTCATTTAATCAGCTATAATATCAATAAAAAGATAATATTTTTATAAAATAATTAAAATAAGAAACTTTTTTTGAAAAAATATCAAGCATCGTCTTCCTCTCTTGCTGTTCAGTGAGGTGATGAGTGAAGAGTAAAGACTACTCAGGGTGGCAGCGGTTCCTTGTATCTGTTGGGCTGGGCATCCATTTTCCAGGAACGAGGTAAATTTTCTTCATTTTAGGGCAATTATTTAAATATTTTGTAGAACAGGAATTTGGGGATATTTTACAATTGAATTATAATACTTTAAGGGTAACTCAAAAATAAAATTATGTAATCTTAAGATTTTAAAAATTTAGAAAAAAAATAAATATTTTAAATATCAATATTAAACCTAAAAATATTTTATTAATTTATTTTCGAGTTCAGAGTAAATTTGAAGAATATACAAAACCTGTCTCCGCCCCATTCGGGACAGGACAAGGCGGGCTAGCCAGGGGCATGTCAATTCCCTGCTAAGGTTAGCCAAGCTGCTGCCTTCAGAAAGTCTCTTGGTCACCTTTTCTACCACTGAATCCATAGGCCACCAACATCCCCGGCACAAGTAGTGCAACACCCATAGGCCAATGGCAGCTCAGATTCGAATTCTTCTCTGACGGATGGCCTGTTGACGACGACTCCAAACGCCAAGACATAGATGGCCTGCTGCATCAACTTGAGACCGTCGGAAAAGACTCCTTCACTTGTCTTGTAAAGAAACAAGCTCAAGAGGCCGATTTCGGCATCCCTTATGCCGTTTTATGAGTTCAATCCTGTGTTGTCTTCTCTACTTATTACCATATACCATTATTTCCATCGTTTGGCTCGCTTCCCATCCATAGATGAACCCCATCTTCCTGTCCATCTACCTGGGCTGCCAATATAAAGGGTTTCTATGGTCTGCCAGTTTCTAAATCAGTTGACGCCCGAGATTGAACCAGACTACTGCTGCTGGAGATGAGCGGTCTAAGCGACCTTGCAATCGGATTCATCTTTGTATTCGCCCTCGCCTTCGTTGTTGTGATAGCTTAGATCCTTTATGTCCTCTGGTGTCATCGAAAATTCCGACAACAAAACTCCACTGGCGAACTTGACTTTGTTGGGAAATGGAGTCACTATAACTTTGGAGGAGAAGCTCTGAGGCGCGTCTGAAGACATTGTCTTTAGAACGTTTTTTGCCCCCACTCAGTTGCACTGAGTTTGTTATTGGGTTACAGGAAAACCCGTTCCCAAGATACAACAAAGCCTTAGGCGAGAATCTACAACCAGCAAAGTTGAAGAATCTCCGAAAAAACCTTCTGTGAAACTGTAACAGGTCGGACTGAGAGAGAGAGAGAGAGAGAGAGAGAGAGAGAGAGAGAGAGAGAGAGAGAGTGGATTTTGAAAATGTATGTTTTTGAAGTCTGATTCATGCTCCTTAAATAGTTTATGAAAATGTATGAATAAAAGGTAGGTGCTGGTATGACTGTTAACTTTGAATTGTGCCTCTTGATCACACCCGATCGAACCGTGACCGTTGATCTCATCAATGGTGATCAACGGTCAGCATCGCACCAAAACCAAAGCTACCATTTGTGAGTCACGCGAAGTGCGAGCAAAGTGCGCCTCATTGTGTCGCACACACGCACGCACACGCGTGTGCACATGCTGCGTGGTGTCAAACCTCCATACTCTCCTATACTATTTCTAAGGAGTGTAAATCAGCTCCTATTAAAATACTGAAAACAAAACTTATAATTTTTCAATGTGGGACAAGTTCAAAACTGAGTTTTGTAAAAGAAAAGCTAATTTTCCAAACAAGTGTGCAGGTGTAATTTCTCATGTAATTGACCAATCAAACCCATTGGGTTTAATTTCTTATGAGATTAAAATCCAACATACTTCACCGGGGATCCTTTTGCCAGCCCTTCCAACGAGCTTCTCTACTTATGCTGGAAGAACTAGACTCGCATATAGCCCACCGTATTTCTGACTTCTCGAGCCTTCGTCCGTGGCTGACGTGAATAGGAAGACAGAGGAAGATGCTGAACAGTGTTATTGCCCTCTCTTGATATTTTTCAAAAAACATTATCTTATTTTATTTATTTTATAAAAATATTACTTTTTATTGATATTTAGGGCAAAATATTGCCCTTATATGCTAGAAACCCTTGATCATTTTATTCAATGATAATTTTAATAGATAAAAAATATAAGATAATATTAGTTAAAAAGACTTAATTTATTAACATATAGATAATTTACTTTTTTACTATTATTTTTGTAAAGGTTATATTATCAAAATTCAAAATTTAACTTATTATTTAAATAAATAAATATAGCTGTGAATGTAATCAGTCTATCAAATCTGACCCAATTATCCTACTATTAATTCGAATTGTTTTAGGTTTATGATTTTATCCAAATTAAATAATTGGTTTAGGTCTGGGACACCTTACCCGGACTCTGACCTGACCTATTGACGGCCCTACTTTTTCCCCTCCGTAAGGCAACAAAGTATGCTGATTTTACGGTTAACTCAGCCTTATTGTCATAGGCCCACACTAGCTGTTTTTTCAACCCATTCTCCACCAATCTTATTTTTTATAATTTTGCTGAACTGTATGTGGGTCAAAAAATTGGTGGATTTTCCAATTTTCATGATATACTTGCGGATATAATCATCATCTGTTCATCGCCATCATCATCCATGCTTTATTCCTATTATATAGGTGTAGTAGCAAAGTCCAAGTCTCCAAAGAAATCTTTTGTGACATGAGAGAGATTGATAAAGTGATTTTTGAAATTGTGTATGTAAATGGTTGATTTACGTTTGATCACACCTAATTGAATCGGGGTCGTTGATCACATCAACAGTAAATCCTTGTGCGCCTCTAATGCACTTCATTGCGCTGCATGCACGCGTGTTGCATAATAGCAAACTTTCATACTCTTCTCTTTATATCTAAGGAGGGTAAATCAGCTCCTATTAAAAACCCAAAAAAATTCTTTTAATTTTCTAATATGGGACAAATTGAAAACTGGTTTTAGTAAGAGAAAAAACTATTTTTCAAGACGTGTGTAGGTGTATTTTTTCATGTAACAAACATGGTTTTCAAAACCGGATGAAACCAGACGGTCGGACTGGAAAAACTGGAAACCGGTTTATTTTTCCCCCAAAACCATTGATTTTGGTCAACAAACTGCTGAACTGGCCAGTTAACCGTTTGAACGATTTTGACCGTTTTTCAATTTTTTTTATTTTTTTTTTGTCAGAATGGGCTGACCAATCGGATCAAACAGTTGGACTATTCAAACCAGTAACCGGACCCTAACCGGTTGGGTTTTAAAAACCATGGTAACAAATCACTTCTAGCAGGAGCAAGTTAAATTGAAATCACCAAATTATCAAAAACTGAGCAATAAAATATGTGAACGGTTGCCGATGCATAAACTTTATATCAAAACCCGACCTGGAATTAGAACCACTTTGACCGTCTAGTCTGAATGGATCAGGCCTTGATACCTTAAAAATCAAAATAAATAATTAAAATAAAATCCAATCAGAAAATCGCTGGTTGGGACCTGGGTTGAAAAGGTTGATGATTCGATTAGTCAGGATCGCTGATCAATTCAACGAATTTTTTTTTTTTTCGAAAAATAACAGTTGGGACAGAAATGAAACTAATACCCTAACCAATTTCTGGGTGAAACGATCTGAGCATCCGAATCAACGACGGTTTTAAAACCTTGATTTGATGAGTTAGAAGATGGAATAGAATAAATCTGCTGTAATCATCCTTGCAGAAGATATCCAATAAAATATGAAAATGGTGACATCCCATATATAATTTTAAATTCCAAACACTAATTGGTTGGAGCCTTGGATTGCTGATGTTTCCGTGGTTTAATTGAGTGGTTGCAAAAAATTTGTACAACGAATATTGCAGCAGATACCTTACTAGTAAAACATTAAAAAAAGAGTATTGCAGTAGATATGAACTCTATATGATTGATATGGTCTGTCACTGGTTGTCTGGTTGTTGGTCTGAATCACACACACATTGAGATTCCATCA